TGGGAATAAGCGTTGCCTTTCAGGAGTTTTGGTTAAAACTTGGCTATCTAAATCTAGCTCTTACCAAAAGGGCTGTGGCTGCGATACTTGCACAGATTTGGACATGGGTCAGAGGTACTGAGGGGAAGAAGTCTTAAAAGTCTTTTTTGACCTCGCCCTCAGTAAGAAATACATTTTAATTTGTGTCATGACCCAGTAGAGGGACACATGCACACCTGACAAAAGTTCCATGAAGTGATACCCTCTTTAGATGCGATGCATTCTACTAATTCCTATTATATTGTATTCCATTGAAAAAAAAAAGGCTGGGCATAACTCCTTGATAACAGCCTGTGTAGTTAAACCTCTGGCTAGAAGCAGAACTTGGTAAATGTCAGCAGTGCCCTGTTTGGATCTGCTCTGTTTTGCATGAAAGGTCTGTGTCTTCACTATATGGAACTATCAGGTAGTGCCCCCAAGAGAAGGGCCACCTAAAGAAAGAGGTGGCAGGCAGAGATGGCTGAGTAGCAGGGTGGGCTCCTGATGGAAAGGTTCAAAGTCTAGCTTTTTTTTTTTGGCGGCTGGCTAGCACAGGATCTGAACCCTTGACCTTGGTGTTACAAGGCTGTGCTTTAATCAACTGGGCTATCTGGCCAGCCCCCAAAAGTCTAGCCACTGCCTTGGCTGCCCTGCACCTTGGTTTCCTATTCTGTAAAATTGGGGCTCGTCATGCCTGCCACAAGAGCCTGCATGTAGTAAGCAATCCCTCTTAATTGTGGCTATAATTTTTATTAACATGGATCTGATATCCAGAGACAACTTACTAGGGTGTAACCCTGTGGGGTGCGGACTTGAGTGATTTCTTCCGTCCTGTGGGTATATGCTGACTTGCACTCAACGTTCTGCATGAGCTTGACCGCAGCCTGCAGCCCCACCAGAAGGAGCTCTTTTTACTGTTGCACACTGTGACAATCAGCCACAGATGCCAAGCTAGCAGCAGTCAGGAGGTAAAAACCCTCCAGGGGCTGCCACTGTCAGGGATGAGAACCTCCTAGGGCTCCTGCCCCTGGGGCTAATTTGCTTCTTCACTTCCTTTTTGCTTGTTCTTTGAAAGTCTACCAGAGAGAATGACGACTTCAGTAGTCACTTTTCTGCTGAGTTCCAGTGGTGTCTTTTCCAGGCCAGTTGCTCTCTGTCCTCTTAGGATCAGCCTGGGCCTGGGAGAGACGACAAACAGCCCCCCTGAGGCCTGATCTGGCTTTTCCCCCACCCCCTGGGTCACCTAGGTCCTTCCCACTCAGCTGCCTGTCCCCACCTCCCCTGCCGCCATGGTCAGCAGCTGGCCCCAGGCCCCTCCGCAGCTTCTGCTGAGCCAGCGGCCGATGCTCACCCTTGGGAAGGGAATGTGGGGCTCGGGAAGTGCGGTACCCCTGCCCTTCCTCAGTCTTATCTCCCAGGTCTCAAGACCAACTGGAAAAAAAACAGTAAAGCCAGGGGAGGAAGGCTGTCCACAGTCCGGGAAGTTGCCAGCATCTTGCAGCTCCCTTGTTCCTCTGTGGTCTTCGAGGATCTCTACTGTGGGCGCCCCTCAGATTAGGTGCCAGGAAAGGAAACCTTCCTTATGCATCTCCCTGATGCCGGGTTCCAGGCACTGGCTGTTGGAGTCAGTCCTGGAAGGGCTCTGTGAGGGGACAGTTCACCACCTTTTACAGCCGAGGAGGAGGCTCAGAGAGTTACATAGCAGGCCCGGCAGCACAGCTGGGATTCACAGGGCTGGGATGCGGCCTGACTGCAAAGCCTGTGCTCTCTCCTGGAGCTGCAGTCTCGGCCCTGCTCTGTAACTCCTCAGCAATGGGAAGGACGTTCAGCCAGTCTGAGGCTCCTCCCGCTTCTGCTGCCCTTGGAGGTGCTCCCATTCTGTGACCTTGAACTTGCCCTGGGCAGTGCCAAGGCCAGCCATTGCTTTCAGGTGGGGGCAGTTTGTGTGCATGTCTAGGTGGTGAGCTTTTGCAGGGCACCACTTGTGTCTTACGTTTCTTTTTTTTTAAAAAAATGTGTTTTGATAGCTCAAATTATGTAATAGACACAAGCATCATTTTGTTAAAAAACCGTCAAATCCCGTAGAAGTACGTAGAGTAACAAGGGGCGGCTTTTGCTGTAGGTGTTCAGTCTCGTGTGTCCATCCCTCTGTCTCCCCTCCTGTTCTCTCCGAAGGGCAGCGTGCTGACTGAAGCTCCCCATCCGAGGGGCTTCGGCTGCAGATGTTTGTTGGCTCCTTCTCCCGCCACACTGTCATCCCTTATGAGGAAAGGGGACTTGGGTTCTACTGTCAGGGAAGGCTGCTCCTTTGATGAGATGGCCACCAAGGCCACTTGCATGTCCAAAGCCGGAGAACTGGTTTCCGTCCGGGAAGGTTGGTCACTATGACTCAGCAGGAACAAGAGCCTGTGACCAAAAGAGACCCATTTATATCCTGAGGCAGGGAGCAGAGGGGAAAAGAGCAGCCTCCAGTGGGAGGAAAGAACGTCCGTGTGCCCTGCTTCTGTAAGCGTGTGATGTGGCAAAGAATCACTTTCCTCTCTCTCAGAAGCAGTAGGAAGCCATCTTTGGGGCTGGGATTCAGGACAAGTGATTGAGTAACCATCACATGTCTGCACACTGGAAGGTGACTGCATGGCTGTAGGGAAGAGTGGCCCTGTGTCACAGTCATCAAGACTGAAAGGTGCCGGGACAAGTGATTGAGTAACCATCACATGTCTGCACACTGGAAAGTGACTGCATGGCTGTAGGGAAGAGTGGCCCTGTGTCACAGTCATCAAGACTGAAAGGTGCCAGCTGCACACGGGACCCTCAGCCAACGTGTAGTTGAATGGGTCTGTTAGTGTTTGTTCCACAATATGCAGGTCCTACTGAATTGATATAGTTCATTTCTGGTCCTATGGGAACTGCAAAATAAAAATAGAAGCAGGGCCAAACATTGACAGGAGATTGGAAGTTGTCAGCAAAGCAAAGTCCCAGAGAGCCCACGAAAGTCAGAGATACAGGCTCGAGTGTCTGTCTTCTCCTGGGAGTGTGTCCATGCCCACCTCCACCCCCTCAGTTGGCTGTCCCAGATAAGTTGGCTGTTTATCTTTTTTTTTTTTTTTTTTTTTTTTTTTTGTCTTTTTTACTGACCGGTAACAGGATCGCAACCCACGGTGTCGCGCCCGTACCGGGGACTGGCAACGGGATCGCAACCCTCGGTGTTGCGCCTGCACTGCGCTCAGCCAGTGAGTGGGAACCGGTCTCCACATGGGATCCAAACCCTCGGCGGGAGCGCCGCCGCACTCTCAAGCGGCGCACCCCCCACGGCGCCACTGGGC